CAATATTAGGGGGAAAGACACCCAAAAACTTGCTTCGAGGGTCTTCTGTAGGCTAGAAAACTTTAGTTTTTTCCACGTTGAGATGTAACCCAAAACGAGGCCCTTCCTCCGTAATCAACTGCGAAACCTTCCCCACCACCCAAGTGTCCCCAATAATAGTTTCGTCATCCAAATACCACGCCTGAAGACATACCTCAAAAGCATCTCTGATTTTACATACCAGGGGTTGTAAAACCAAAGCAAAAAGCAGAGGACCAAGGGGATCACCCTGCTGCACCCCCTGAGACGACATAAGGTGTAGTCCCTATAATACAATCTGGTTGGATTAGAGTAGCAAAATTCAAGCCATCGTGAAATGCCCGGACAACGACGACGAACTTCACGTAACATGACCGCACGATCAACTAGATTGAAGACATTTTGAAAATCCACCAACAACATTGAGAGACCAACATCAGAACCACGATCCTCAATCAACCGATTCACAGCATGAAGAATTGCCTCACCTCCCGAAGAAACCCTAACACCAAATTGGAGACCATCAAAGTAACTTCCTAAAGACTGGCCAACCATAACAGCACCGACCTTCGAAACCAGACGTCGCCAAACGGTACCCACAGCTATAGGACGAATACCACCACCGGGCTTGACAAGTGGTGTGAGAGGAGCACTAGCAATATACTCTCCTAATTCCATAGGACATCTTCCAGCTAGAAAGAGATCGATTAACCACCCCAGTAATAGAGTCAAACAACTCATCTGAGACCGCCACAATAGCACCACTCAAGCAATCCATAAGGTGTTGAGCACATAAATAGTCCCTACCACATGATGTGCCACAAGGAAAACTCTTAATCCGATCCAGAACAACAACAGAAGTCGCAACGAGATGAAGGTGATCAACAGGTATATTGGGAAAGGATGGAGCTGGAGAAAAAGGGTTCTTTGACTGTAAATCTGCAAAAGTGGCCTCATTATAAGGAGAAACGCCTGAAGAAGAAAGAACCCGGACTGCAACGGTGTAATGGCCATTAGAAATCTTCCTACGATACTGCTTGATATTACGCTCTTCCAAATCAAGGTCCTCATTATCAACCACCGATAAAGTAGGAGAATCCTCTACCAAAGTTTCCCTCACAAGCTGCAAACTACCAACTGGTGGCTGGTGCACTCCAAGAACAAATAGCACGGGAAATACTCTCTTCTTGATGCCGACGTTTTACCAAAGACCTAGACTCACGACTACTCCGCGGGCGAAAGGTTTTAAGGGTGCAAAGAGGTAACACGAACAAAGAGACCCAATTAGAAATGTCATCAGGCTTAGAGATCACCTTATCAAGAGCACCTTTCAGAATCTGAGAAAACCTCCAACGACACTTGGGAGGGATAGACTTCACAGGGCGAAACCCCTTAAAGAACAAACAATCAAGGAGAGCAACATCAAAACCACCGTAATGATCTCGCACCAAACCCACCATATGTCCAATTTGAGCAGGAGAGGAGGGAGCTTGCGGCTTGGTGAAATTATGAAGCACAAACGAACAATACCATCTCCTTCATCAAGGGGTGACACATCCTCACCCCTACCATGACGACACTTAGAACGAAGCATATGTATTTTGTATCAAACCCCACATAACCAAATCCCCATACGCGTAAAAATAACTTCTGCCTCAGTATAAATAGCCAAATTAGAAGTAAGAAAATATCGGGTGATATCTCGCGCACCAATACAACAATGACGATCACTAAGATGCTTGATTAGAAAATTTCTAGTGAGGCCATTTCCACCCCCATCTTGACAACCACTAAGACCCACAAAGGGACAATGAAACTTCACGAAGCTGACATAGCTACACACAACAAACTACACCAAAAAATAGCTGCATGAAACATTAACTAAACCAAAACGGAACAAAAACAACCCAAACCAGCAACCTGCAAACTTACCAAAGGCTAACACACAAGAAAACCCCTGCTGGACCCTAAAAACAACCTCTATAACTGCACCAAAACAGCTCCCGAGACTACACCAAAACAACAACCAAAAATGAACATAAAAGCACCCGAAATTGCAACAAAATTGCACAAAAAATCTTTGAAAAATGGCTGAAAAATTGGCCTGAAAACTGTTCCCCAATTGCGGCTGAAACTGACACAAAACCTTGCCTTAAAAACCAGACGGATGCCTGAAAACTGATGCGACCAGAAACCTCAACTGCTCCCTGAAAAACCGGTGCCGAATCCCATAGAAACTGATCAAAAACCACCACAACCACGAACTAAATCCCCTGCAAACGATACCTGAAACCACCACGACCACAGCTGAAATCCGCGCCTAGAAATATTGATCACCGGATCCCAAAATAGAAATCGTCGCTGCACCTTCAATTTGAAAAGGGAACGTTGAAAAAGGAACGTTGAATTAGAAACTTGAACGCTGACCCTGAAACTTGAACGTTGAACCTGAACCGCCGTTAAACAATGATCGCCGCCGGGGAATAGCCACCTGAGACACCGGAGAGCAGGCCGACGCCAGGAAAATATAGCCTGACCCACAACCCTTACCCAATCGCCCTTATTGTTATTATGTCTCAAAAATAGACAAAGTCATACAACCTACAAAAAAATTAGTGGGAAGCCGAGATACAATCTGGGCCCCAACTCCTCTAGCTATAGCAAAACCTATCCTAGTGAAGATATGAGCAGCAGCACGTGCCCCAATGTCCTGAGTCTTGGAGAACTTCTGAATCCGCTTCAGCAATGCAACAACCTCCTTTTCTAATTCCCCAAGTGAAGAGAAAGAGAAAGGAAGGAAGCCATATCCAATTGCTCGACAATTGGATTCGTACTTGACTCGCTTCCGATGGGCCGCATCAAGCACAACTCGTCCAAGAACAAAGTCAGATAGCCCAGACTGTGTCAAGGGAGAAGACCATGTCAAGTCAACACAAACATCGCGACCACGATCCTATGAATAAAGTAACACATCTGCAGGTCTGAGGGCCCCGTCGTTCCCTCCAGACAACCCAATGTCCACCTCTTTTCTAGCTGAAATCCCTGACCGATAGCAAACATCAACAAGGGTATCCCGAACAACATTATGCCGATGTTTAATGCCCACAATACCAGCACAAGATACCGCATGATCACCGAAAATATCCCTAGTAAAAAACCTTGAACAAGCATGGCGTCATGATAGAGAACAATGGAACACCCAACCGGTAGCACAACACACATCGGTAAGTCTTAGCATTCATCGTCTGATCCAACCCCAAAACAGGGACCGCCCGAAGCCAAGCAAAGGTGTGGTCTCCCTGCTGTGATTTCCGCAATGCTGATTGTCAAGGAGTTAAAGAATAGGCGGATTTTGTAGAAGCGGTAACCTTTGTGAAATATATATCTGCCAATTTCTTCATGAGTTTAGGGGCAGCGACCTCACGATGATTACTCAAGATGTTAGACTCCATCGTTCCATTAAACAAACGCAGCGCATCCTCAAAGGCTCGTCCAAGACCAACAATGCCAGCATGCCGTAGAAGCCGTGTCTGCAACCTAGCAGACTGTAACCAAGAAGCAAGAAAAGCATAATGACGAACATCACCTGCGGCATAAACACCAAGCCCTCCAAAAGCAAATGGTAAGGTGGCAAGCCGCCACTGCCAATCGCCAAACCCAGGCCCCGAAGCAGTAACAATACGCTCCAAGGAAGATGGAAGAGCCCCGTCGAATGCATACCATTGGGGATATTAATGTGAATAGGTCTTTGCCAACATTTGACCACAAAATTAGCTTTTGGGTATAGGGATGACAAATTCTTTGATTTTTTTGAGGTTTTTTCTTCTTTTTAAATATAAAATATTAATTATTATCATTAAAAATTAGTTATTATCAATTAATATTATATATTAATTATTATTATTATTATGAAATTTTAATTATTATTATTATTAAAAATTAATTATTATTATTATTATCTTTAAATATTAGTTATTAGTTATAATTATTAAATATTAATTATTATTATTATTAATTATTATTTTTAAGCAGAGCAGATTTCAACATAGTAGAGCAGAGCAGAGCTAAGCAGAGCAGAACATCTCAAAAGAACAGGGCCTAAAACTCTCAAGAATATTATTAAAATGTTAAAAACTGAATACTAATGACGACTAAAACATTTAAATAGTCTAAACAAAGCCCTAATACGAAAATTAAGCAGAATTCAAATTTAAAAAATATTTAAATGCTATTTTTGGGCCTTAAACGAACTCAGATGGCTTAAAAAGCCTGTTGCGCACGAGCTCACGACATAGTTGTGACATGGACTTGTTGGCCCGTTTCCATTTCCAAAAATATATTTTATTTAGCAATATGACTCCGGGAGCCCGACTAGTAGAAATCATGACCACTAAAAAACTGAAATCAAGTCTTTCAACGTTGAACTTTTTCATCAAACCGAGCAGCTAATCTCTCTACGTCATCTTCTTATCAACAAATTGGATAATTGAACTATTCAACACATTTATTATTAGGCAAATTGAGCAGTATAACTAATGTGAGTCATTTAGTTAGTGATAGTATGAACTTTGTACCTCGATCATACACTTGTATCTAATGCATTAGGAGTTCTTCTCATGATGACCGTCTCCTATTTTCCTTACCTTTAAAAAAAAAAATTAAATTGGAATTTAGTTTGACTAGCTAAGTGATTATCGGTTACAGTGATAACTAAAGACGGTAAACATTGTTGTGTAGATCAAATTTAATTTATTCAAATTGATTCCATATTGGCCCATGGGTCATTCCATTATTGGTTTGAAGTTCTTATTAAATACGAATTGAAGTAGCTAATTAATGGTAATGAAATATGATGAATAGATCTAGTTATAAGTCACATTATTCTTTTCTTGTTTTCTGTTGAATGGGTTCAAATCAAATTCCAATCAAATCATGTAAACTTGGGTTGCGGAGTTACGTTACGGGCAGGCATTTTACCAGAGGTTTCTATTGTATCAATCTCACCTTGTGCGATTCCTGTTGAAGCATATACTCGGGGGGGTGGGTGCAGGGCGGACGATTTCAAAGCGGACCCCCCTTTCATTAGATAGAGAACATTGCTTTCTTTTTAGTAAGCAAAATTGAAAATGTATTATTGACACAAATCACAACAATATATATTACAACGGTTACATATAGTAACAAATACATGTTAGAAATAATAGCCGATCAAGTAGTCTTTGACTCTTCGTTATCATTTGGAATGCCTCGTCGAAACATTCAAAATCTTGTGCATCAAATTAAATAAAGCTCCAACTTTCTTCTCATCCATGAATAAATGAAATGAAACACTCTAATTGAACTTACTACACACTTTTCTAATCTGCCCTTGATTGCCAGTGAGCACATCAAGTGCTTGCAACTTCACCATGGCACTAGCCAATTTAGTAGCGAATGTGTTAGGATTTTGGGCGAGTTGTTGAGCAAAAACCTTTGTTTCACTATCACGAGCTAGTGCTTGATCAATTGGCAAAATTCTTCTTTGCTTGACAATTTGATCAAAGAAAGAGTTGTCAACTATGTTTGAGCTCGATGGATTTTGATCAAGAAAGGTAACGTTGTTTGATCCCATGCCTTGAGGGCATACCGGCTTCAATTGTGTTCTTAAGGTTGAGTCCATATTTGGATCAAATTGGTCAGCACCTTGGTACAAACGGTCTTCAAAGAATTCACAATGTGATATTCCTACTGTATGACAACCTGTTTCACCAATACAAAATTAAAAAAAGGCTTGTCAAAAGGTGCATGTTGTATTAAATAAAAGATTTTGAAAACGAAAACGTTTCAGATTGGGAAATCCAAGTCCCACCATTGACGGGTTTTATCAGCACGTAAAAACCAAAAAACCTTGGGTATTAGAAGTCTAGCTGTTTCCTAATTTCAATGTTGACACGATAAGGTGTTCGGTGTTACTACTACAAATCAAAGTACATAAATAGAGCTCAAGACCAAAAGCCTCTATGGTGTTTGGTTGGAGTAGTTATTATAATATTTTCAAACTAAAATTGGAGGAAAACTCTATGCATTGGGAGATATAATAGTGTTACAATGTATACCTAAGAGAACAACCATTTCTTCAGGATTGAAGTTTTTGGCACCAAAGGCTTAAATGCTATCGGAAACAGATGCAGAAGGACTTGGAAGATCAACATCATCAACATTTGATACGAGTCCATCTCTAAGTGAGAGACGTATATACCTAGGTTTAGGTGGTTTGAGCTTGGCTAGTAGTATTTTGAAGAAAAGTTGGTGATTTGTTTGAACCCTCTCCATAGTTATCTTTATATATGCATGAGACAAAGAGAGATAAAGTTTAAAAATTACTAGTTGACAATATTCCATTCAGAGCACCACATCTCCTTCACTTAGTTGTTAGAATCAAGCTAACACATGCACGATTTTTCTCAAAATCTGAACTGCAAATTGCCATATATTCCAATTTAGGTGTTCAGCATTTTATAATTTCCAAAATATAATTATACTGACAAAATCATAGTCTAACAGAAGAATGTCTAAAAACCCCAATCATACATATGGCCGTAAATAACGCATCGATATTGTTGATTATATTATAAATTTAATTAACAGGTGTATACAATGCCATAATATTGTTTAAAATAACCATTTGATGGTATATTAATATTGTACAATTTCGGTGTTTATATTTAATTATAAATCAATAAACCAAATGAACAGATCTTGTAACTTTGTATGAATTCAAGGAAAATTTGTAGACTTTCAGATAACATTTTGTTTTTTGCGTAACCAGTAACTGCATTACAATATGATACATACGGCCATACGTAAGATATCTGGTTTAATTTGTCCTCTTCATTTGCATATAGTATTTTATTTGTAATATCTAGTTAATGTGTAACAAAAATTAAATTTAACTAAGTACTAAATGATAGGACTATAATTATCAAAAAACATAATAAAAAAATTGATGGGGCTATATTACATCAGTAGTTTAAGCTTCAATTCTTCATCAAATTCCGTAATAACCGATTCAAAGCCTGAATTGACTCGTGTCTGTTTATTGGACTAGATGTCAATCTTATTACGAGTATTTTGTTCTATTTTATTTTCTTATGGGGCTATTCATAGTAAAGGGGATTCAATTGTCAAGGGTGGAGTCATGCATGGTGGACGCATGTGCACCGTACCAAGATCAATATGCTCTAGATACAAAACTTGTTTTCAATAGTACACAATGGTTTTGTATGATACTCTTCTATATTTCTTCAAAGGAAGATATAGAACATGAAAGTGTATTCAAACAATGTCATTAAAAGCTTGGTTGGCCCAACAACAAACACAATTTGGACAACTATATCCTAAACTCGTAGTACAAAGTTTTCTAACACACTTCGATAATCCTTAACAAAGTTAGCAAACTCTTAAAAAAAAAAAAAAAAAAATGTTACCGTGCCCTTAAACTCTCATCACCTCTCTCTAAAAAAAAATCTTCAAACTACAATGTCGACGCGGCAAGGCAAGGAATTGGCGGCAGCGGAGGCGGAGGAAAGGTGATCACACGGCGGCGGCGGCTGTGCACGACGCCGGAGCCACGGTGGTGGCGTCTTGCGTGGGCGCCGCCTCCGTGGCCTTAGCGTCCTGCCCAGCCGTCGTCGCCGTGGGGATGGCGTCTGGTTGGGACCCCGGCAAGGTTTTTTTTTTTTTATTATTTTTTTTGTTTATTTTTATTCTTTTTTTTCAGTTTTTTTTTAATTTTTTTTTTCAGCATGATTGCCACGTGGGAGCAGTTTCCGATGGTCGCCCGCCTATGGACTGCGGAGCTGCAGAGGCCGCCAACTAGGGTGACCATCATTACATGGAATGGTACAGCCGGTATTCGCACCCGAGGTTGATCAGAGACCTCCACCATGACGACGATGCCGATGATGATGATGTGCCACCGCCCACTGCCGTGGATGCAGTATGTCTCATAAAACATTTATTTCCAATATGTTTTTTTTATTATTATATATTTCGTTATTGAATTTCATGTTTTTTTCTTGTGTGTAGTGGGTGGGAAAGATGATGCAGCTGGGACATAGACTCTTTCAGGAGAGGGACAACATGACGACTACATCAGGCAGAGCTGTTATTGATGATATGGAACGGGCCCTTGCGCAGTGGCAGCGGGCGTCAAAGAGGGATTACTGATCTGTTGGTAGTTTATTTATAGAACATATTGTACATTATCATAGTAGTTTGTAAAATCTGACATTATCGTTTTAGTTTGTAAAATTTGACATTATCATTTTTGTTTTAAAATTTGACATTATCTTTTTAGTTTGTAACGCACAAATACTAATTAGTATGCATGCAAGATATAAATTTAGTCAAAATTAGAATACAAAAAAGAAATAAATGGAATAAAAATAGCAATACAAATACAAGGTTACATAAAAAAAGTATACGCATGAAAAACTAAAAGGCAACTAGGTTGTTCAAATGACGCATCCGATCATGGTACAACACATCCCAACCCTCTACGCTTGATCTGTGAATAGTGTACTAAGTAGGTAAGATCGGTGGCACCGGAAAATCGGATGACAGGTCTAATCGGATGAAATGTCTATATGACGACCCCAGAAATGCAATAGCAAACTCTCTTACCGGTCTGGTGACGGTCTCATGCGAATACCAAGGGAGAACCGTGCAACATGGAAAATAAGCTCGACTGTGCAAACCAAGCCCGAAATGCATGACTGCACACTTGTAGATGTTTGCAACGGCAAAGAAATCAAGTGGCGCGTTGAACCAATGATATTGACCGCAAGATCCTCCTCCCCACTGGATACGCTTAAGAGAACTTTCCAACTCCTCGTCGTACACATGACGATAAACATCTTGGTTTGCGGCAATTTCATTGTACATCAACTGACGCACTAAAGCATAGTTGTCTTCACCCATTTGAAACACGTCAGCCACGACCCGAAATCCGCAGTTACCATCTGCAACCACATCATTCCACCCGTCTAAGTATTCTATGATGATGTTAGGGATCCTGTCCTTATATGGAAACTGATCAATATCCACTCTTCTTGTTGCACATATCAATAAACACAGTTAACAAGTCAGCAATAAACTAAACAAACATTCTAAAAAGTAAAGTAAAGTAAAGTACTATACCGGTTCCGGGCATGTTCACCGACAAAGAAGATTGGCCACGACCAGGCGAACGACCGGATGACGCTGAACGACCACGACCACGAATGTACTCAAACGCACTCCTGTTCCGCCGTGATTGTCGACCTCTAGGTCGCTCGACCCCTTCAGATTCCTCATGATCCAAGCATGACGGGTTGAACATGTCATGAAGTACGTGGGTAGCATCACGAATGATTAAAGGGTGACTAGAGGACACTCGGTCAAACATCGAACGAATCTGCTCTAATTCCTCCTATCCATGGTCGATCGTCAGTGGAACAGCATTCTCTCCAATAACGAGCGTCCGCCAGAATGGATGAAGCTAATCAACATGTAACGATGCCCTATCTTGGGTAATTACGCGGTGAATGGTGCATGTATAAGGTAGTCCATAGTCACTGATATAGCACATCCGCAACGAATAGCCACTTCATCACCCAACTCCTTCATCCTGTTGTGCTCGCTCAGAATCAACCCCAAGCAGTAGTGTGACACACTACCATGGAGAATCTTAAATATGAAATGGCAATACATCATACCATGTCTCCGTCTAGAGTCCTCGAGAGAGTTCTTGATGTTGTTCTTCTGAGTATCAATAGCCTTGTTTATTATCTCGAACAGTGTATCCAGAGCAGAGGTGGAAGAATCAATCCAGTCCTTCAAAGCTCTATGAGCGCTCTCAACTCTACCGGTTGTAGTGTTTCCAAAATGAAGAACTTGGTTTGTCCAATATTTGACAAACGTTTCCCTGTGAGGTATCCACTGTTGCATCACATGGTTTACCACTGCCAGACACCATTGGTAAACATCCTTGAAGTTATCCAAGGCTCGATTGTACTCTGCCTCTATGGTAGCTTGCAGGATCTTCCGCCACTTACCATTTAGCAATCTCTCTGCTGAATGTAAATTCTTGTTGAAAATGTGGTAGGCTTTGACTTTCACACAGTTGTTGATGTGCCATGTGCACAGTAGATGCTTCGATTCTGGAAACAGCTCCGCTATAGGGGCAAAGAGACCTCCTTCACAATCACTGACGATGGCTGATGGCTAAACATTAGGGCCGATGTAGTTTCTCAACTTCTCCAACACCCAATAATAACTCGCAGCCATCTTATCCTTGATGACTGCATAACCAATCAGAAAGTTCTGGTTCGTTGGAGCCATCCCAATCATCTCAACCAGTGGGAACTTGTGCTTGTTTGTCTTGTATGTTGAATCGATCAAAATCACAGATGGCCAAGACTTGATCATATCAGCACAATCAGGATGCACAAGGAATAAATGAGTCACCTCGAATGTCTCTTCATTAGAAAAAAACCAGAACAGGTAACCACGTGCTTGTTCCTGGTGTAGAAGCTGTTGTATAGGTTTCCTCCCCTCTGACCATTCAAACCTCAGTTTCTGTCTGACATTGTAGATGTGTCTTCGGTTTGGCTGGTCTTCAGGAAATTTCTCTAACACTTATGCCAATATTTTAGCAGGCTTCAATTGAGCATCACTCATTTCTTTGACAACTAGTTTTGCAGCAAGACTTAGGTCGCTTAACTGTCGATGACCCAATGGATATACGATCATCTCATGGTTGTGATACCCCCATCTAAAGTAACCCTTCACTTCCCAACCATCACGGCTTCGGTGTTGTCGAACCTTTACTCTGAACTCACACCCACAACCTTTCCGCTTTGTATCAAACCGAATCACTGTACTGAAATCTCGTTCCTTCCTTTTGCGATAACGGTCGCATCTCAAAATGCGATCCATTCTACCATCCCATTGATATTTATGAGTTGCTACTACTAAACAAAAACCAGATCTAATTGCAACCTGTTTTGTCCAATCAATGGCTTGTTGAGCATCTTCGAAGGGACCATCATGTACAAAAATCCCACTATAATCATTTCCGTCTCCACCATAATCCTGCAACAATGACATATTATATTTAAATACATAGAATTATATAAAGATTAAATTAACACATTTAACACAAAATTAACACATAATTAATTTCTAAATTTTTTATTTGTAAATTTAATTTCTATATTTAACGCATAATTAATTTCAAAATTAACACA